CCTACGCCTGCAACTATCAGGACATGAAGACAACAGACCCCAAGATACTAGAATTTCCCTAAGATTCTAAGGCTGGGAGAAGGAAAAAGCTGAAGCCTGTTGCAGCCAGAGAGGAAATGTGTCTCCCAGGAAGAGATACATACTTCTGGCAGCTTGTCGGACCAGCTTGAAGGAGACAAAGACACCCACACAATGATGGGTTAACTCTAAGTGGTGCCACATAGTGATAGTGACTGCTTAACTGTTTATACTGCTTACTCTGTATTTGAACTTAAATCTCATGTAAGAACCCCAAAGATGGACTTGGGGTTCACCAGCCCTCCTTGTTCCTGTTTCCAACATGGCCACGTGGACTCAGTCTCCTTTTTTTACTTTTCATTGTGTGGCCTATTGAGGATGGGTGGCTCAGCACAGCTTGTTTGGGCTAACAATGCTAGTAACAGTTTGACCATTACACAAGGGGCCATGCTTTGTCCTTTCTCTGAATTCTTTTTGTTCTACAGGAATTTTTGTAAGATTTAGGGCTCCTAGAAGCAGATTTACATGATCCATTAGTGACTTAATGATGTGGAGTCCTTGAGAGCAGCAGGGCCTTTTGTCATTCTTGGTGGACTTAACTCAGGGAGCTAGGGTGCTGGATGAGCAGCGGTCACCAGAGTCACCAAAGCCAGTGGCTCCCAAATTCGTTATACAAACATACAAAGAGAGAGCCGACAGAACACAGGTTTACTGAGAAGTGAGAACTTGTGAGTGTGTAAGGGGTTCCAAGCAGGAACACTGCCACGCAGCCTAGCTTAGTGGCCTTTTTTTTGAAGCCACGGTGGGAACTGGATGGCACTGAGGTCATCTTTAGTGAGCCTGGTCAAGCCAGTGAGTGCCCTCAGAGGCCAGTCAGAGAAGTAACCCGTGCAGAAGAGTGGTCATGGGCTATGGTCATGTGCTGTGGTCATGTGCTGTGGTCATGTGCTCTGGGCCTCCAGTCACTCTCCCAACGCCTGTTACTTGCTTTGTAGGTTTTTGATTGAGTCTGTTTCTATGTAACTAGTTCATCATCTCCATAGGCCCTGCTCTTGCTTCCTCACACCTGTCTCACTGCCATGAAGTTCAGGATGTGGCCGGAAATGTGACTCAGGTCCCATTCCTCTGACAAGTCACCAGAGTCCTGTAGTTCCAGGCCTTGATTTTACAAGCTGTTGATTAGAAGGAAAGACTCCAGCCCAAATGTCCTTTAATCTCACTAATATCTAACAGTAGTGGAATAAACTACTATACACCAAGTAATGTCTTAGTAAACATTTCACATAAAAGAGCTCACATAGCATTATACTTCTTGCTTTGGTATTTCATGTGTGAGGAAAATGACGCCAGAGGTTGTGCAATTAGCCCAAAGTTCCGGCTGCCGAAGAGCTGGGGTGAAACACAGATGAGGAACTCTGCCATGCAGCCTAGCTTGGTGGCCCTTTATGCAGCCACTGCTGACCTGGCGCTATTTGACCATGCCTTCCTGTGACTTCCCAAGCGTTGTGATCATTATCTGAGAAGGAAGTGAGAAACAGTCCCCTCAGCCTAGAAAATAGCTGTGCTTTATTCTCAACTTTAAAAAGTCTTCCTCTACGTGGGCACAACTATTTCTTTCTTTAGACTTGCCCCACTTTCCTGGACTACCTATAAAGTTAACGGGTAGGAATAGTTAGTCTTCCTTCCACACTCCATCAAAATGAAAAATCTATAAGAACAGGTCACCGGAGTTGATCTACCTTTACTACTTCTGTTTGCAAACTTCTTTTTCTCTCTGGAAAATACTGTTTTTTTTTTGTTTGGTTTTTTTTTTTTTTTTTTTTGAGTACTAAAGGGTAAAAGCTACCTTTAACCTCAAACCTTTTCAATAAAGGTCTGGAAAAAAAAAAAAAAGCCACCTTTTAAAATACTTCTCACATTGTAAAACTTTATGCTAAGTTGAACTATTTAAAATCAATAACTTCCATTGTCATTAAACTGCACATGGTTTATAATTTATAGGGAGTGATATGTATTTTATCTAAGTTGACCTTTAAAAACAATTATTTGATAGAAACAATCATTCTGGCATGGTTTACCTGTTCGTATTTTCTACCTTCTTTTTCATCAAAGGAATTCATCCCCTAAGCATTGTGCAAAGGAGATGAGAGGATTTAGAAGTGAAGACACACATTTTATGTGAATTTTTAAACTTAGATTGACAAACCAATCGTAATTGTTAATTTTCATTTACATATTTGATCCTGTTGATACCAAACATCACTGAAATAAAAATCTGATCATTTTCCATGGTTAATTTGATTATATTTTTACCTCCTGAAAGACTATTTTTTATTCTTCATTTTTCATATAGTAAAAGGAAAAAGGATTTTATTACACTGTGTTTTTTCTGGCCATTCTTGATTAGTCAAAAAACTAAAATTAAGTTAAAAATTCCAAACTTAACACAGCTCTTATGTAGGTATATAGTTCTTACCTTCCCAGAGATCTCTGAGAAAGAGATTTGTGTTTAATTAAATTATATAATTGGACATTATCTGTTGATTTTTAGCAATGATATTTTAACTATCTCCTGCCTGTAATGACTCAATATCAGTGTTCTGTTTTAATTTAAACTTTTAATTTCCATTAATTGATTAATGATTTATGCACTGTAGTGTTATACTGAAAGGAAAAATATTTTATCTCCTGTGAATATTATGATTCTTAAGAATCATGAAAATGACTATGCCCTTAAAACCATCTTCATTAAAATAAATTAGAGCCTACATTTTTCTTTAAATGCTGACCATACCGGACTTTGGGATTCTCCGTTTGCTCTTTTGTCTAATGAATAGTTCAGTGCTGATGCTGCAGTACCAGGTTTTTCTTTCAGAAGAGCTTTCTCGGTATATTTTAATGTACACTTTACACTGAGATATATAACATGAGATTTCTACTGTGCTTTTGCTACAAGAAATGTCAGGTTCACTTTGCAGGTTCTTGGTTTTAATAAAAGAATTTTGAAAATGGATTTAGGATTAAAACTTAACCATTCTGGATTCCTGGCCAGGTTGGAAGAAGCTGCATTTTAAAAAATATTTTATTTATTATTTTTATTTTACGTGTATGAGTGTCTTGTCTGCGTGTGTGTAAATGCACCACAGAGGTCAGAAGAAGGTGTCGGATTCCTGGAACTGGAGTTACTGACAGTTGTTAGCTCCCATGTGGGTGCTAGGATTTGAATCCGGGTCCTCTGCAAGAACAGCCAGTGCTCTTAATCAACGAGCCATCTCTCCAGACCCAGGAAAGTGCATTTTTAAGGGAGACTTTATTATTTTTCACAAACATAGAAGCTCAAAATAAACAGATACACATTAGTTTGTGTTTGGAATTAAATCTTCAATGATATAGTAAAGTCTCCACTGGTATCTCTATTTATTTTTGGTTTGTACATTATAACTAGCTCCCTGAACGTAACAAGCAATAAATAAATAATATTGTATTTCTTTTACATATTATTATGTATTAGTTACTTTTCTGTTGTTGTGATAAAATACCATTTCTAAAAGCAACTTAGACAAGAAAAGATTCATTTTGGCTTACAGTTCCAGAGGGATAGAGTGTATAATAGCATGAAATATGCATGTGTTCCAAATGGTGCCTAGGAGGCAGCTGGCTACAGATGGCTAACTCATTTCCTCTCTTCCTGTCTAACAACTTGCATCACTAATGTATAGATGTTAGAACACATAATATCATTTCAAGTTGAAACTCTTATTGACCAGGTCTCTTTGTAATGTTCCAAGCTATATTGCTCTCTGGGAACTCCAGCAGAAATGGTTGAGTAACACATTAACTAAATGAGTCACATCTTAGCGTACAGCTCCTCCATGTTCATGCCATGCCACCTGAGCTCAGGCACATTTCTACAGTGCTGTATTTATGATGCTTTCAATTCAAAGTGTTAATACTTCTTTCAAGTTGAATATCATACAAACCCCAATGGTATCTCGTTACTCTGATTTTGTTTCCACTTACCCAAAAGCTTCTTAACAGCAAGCCCTTTTTTTGGCCCCTCATATCTGTATGCTTAGTCAGAGATGGATTTACCACAAAGGGGATAAAACTAGGTTATGGGACCCCTCACATACATGTGGCTATTCCAAGGTGCTGGATGAAATCCCAGCAATGTAATGAAATATTCATTCGTTTTTAAAAAATTCATCAAGGCAAAATATTTTATTTAGACTGTTACATGACTTTTGTAGCTTAGTTTATGTAATTTTGTCTCCTTTTTGATGTCTTGAGACAGGGTCTCCCTGTAGCCTCCGCTGGCCTAAAACTCTTATGCAGACCAGGCTGGCTTCAATCTCACGGAGATCCACCTGTCTCTGCTGGAATTAAAGGAGTGTGCCACCACCCCCCACGCCTGGTTGTCTCCTTGTTATAAAGGAAGTCATCTGATTTTTGCTGTTGTTTGTTTGGTTTGTTTTTGTGGCCTTGGAGAACGAATGCAGGGTCTCACAATAAGGATAAATTTAAATTAATCTACCAGTGCTTCAATTAACTGTACTCTTTAGTTAAAATCATCGAGATTAAAACGTTGACAACGGTAACATTTGCAGCACATGATTAATGTGTTCTGTGTTGAAGAGGAAAATAAACCTGGATAGTCAACAAATGAGTGACTTGCTCATGATTAGCATTGAGGATGCTGGGAGGCCAGCTAAGGGCCTCTGGTACCCTGTCTGCTCCTCTCATCAGAGCACGGTGTTTACAAATATACTAAGACCACTAAAACCTGCTCCACAAGTAAAAAATACAGAACAAAATGGAGTTCAGTGATTAGATTTCCCTTTGCGTCCCTCCGTTCACCTCTCCTCTTCCTTGATCTCCTTTCTTCCCCTCCCTTCCATTCCTTTTTCTCATTGATATTTATTTTCTTGCATTTATTTTATATTTCTGTCACTTATTTATTTTACTGTCTTTTCTTGATGCAGGTGTCCTATTCACTCAACTTCCATAAAAAGTTCTTGGCTTTTGAAAACTGAGCCAAACTTTTCAACACAAGATGAAAGCATCATTGCTGGTTGGTCATCTCGTGATAATTTCTCTCACAACCTGTCTAGCTGGTAAGAAATAGCTGTTGTATATTCTTCATAAACCATTATCATATTATGTGTTTTCCTCATGAAATCTTTGTTGTGAAGTTATAACTAACATTTTCTTTGGACATCTGGATCACACTAGTAAATTTTTTATGTTAAGGTTGTTCTTAATTTTATTTTCACATTCAATTGAAAAGTCATAAGATTTAATCCATCTTGAATGGTAATGTCCTGGTAAACCTGTAAAATTTGGAACTCTGGTGGAGGAAACACTTATGTGTAGCAGTTTCAACTTAATATTTAATGTGACGTTGGAAGATAGCCAACAGTTCATCACTACATGACATTTCCACCATCTACCTATAATAGACTTAGCTTCAATACCTTAAATAATATTAAATGTTAAAAGGTGACATTTTAGGGGCTAGAGAGATTGCTTAGTGGTTAAGAGCACTGGCTGCTCTTGGAGAGGACCCAGGTTTGGTTCCCAGCACCCACATGGTGGCTAACAGTCTGTAACTCCTGTTGTTCCAGGGGATCTGACACCTTCTTTTGACCTCCATGACCATTTCATGACATGGGTGCACTTACACACATGCAGTCAAAGCACTCAGATGCATAAACTAAAAATGATAAAAAAAATTTTAAAGGGACATTTTTAAATGTGTTCCTTTCATTTTTAATACAATCCATTGATTATTTAGTTAACATTCTATAAGTTTTTATACAGCTGTGTTTAACGACTGAGTCACAACTTTTCTGAAAAATGAAAATGGGAAAATTCAGAAATATTTCCCACAATGATAGATGTGTATTTTTATCCAGCCACAGTATGTTTTCTAACAATCAAGTTTTCTAGAACCTTCATCTCAATGACCTTAGTTTAATAAGAACTATCTGAATTGCTATTCTGTTCAAGACATACATGTGTCTCATCTTTCAGAACACATCAGTCTCTGCTGATCACTTTAATGATGCATCTGAAAAACATTCACTTGCTTTGTTTACTTATTTATTTTGTTTGTTTGTTGTTTTCTGACACAGGGTCCATGTAGCCCAGACTGGCCTCAGGTTTATTATGTAGTCAATGATGACCTAGAACTAGTGTTCCTCCTGGTTCTCCTGATCCCCCTGCAACTAGTGCTCCTCCTGGTTCTCCTGATCCCCCTGTAACTAGTGCTCCTCCTGGTTGGTTCTCCTGATCCCCCTGCCTCAGTCTCAAATAAATAATCAGCTATTATTTATTTTTAAGGAAATAAAAAATAATATTTGAGGAGCTGGTGATTTTTATTATGTTGATTTCAGAGTTCAGGAAAGATCATTTCATTCATGTCAATAGTGGGAGCGAGACAAGAGCTCTGTGCTATAGCCTGCAGCGGCCTAAAGAGTTTAATTAAAATATTTTATTTATTAATTTTATTTTAGGTGTGTCAGGGTTTGCCTGCATGTATGTAAGTGCACCTGTGTTGCGCAATGCTCTAGAGGTCAGAAGAGGGAGTTGGATCTCCCGGAACTGAATTTACCTTTGATTGTTAGCCACCATGTGGGTGCTGGGAACCCAACCTAGGTCTTCTGCAAGAGCAGCTTGTACTCTAACCTCTGGGTCATCTCTCCAGCCCCCTTTCTTTAATTTTTTAAGGGTCCAGACTCAGATAAAACCTGATCCTTGGTTTTGAAGCTGAAAAGAATTTCAGAATAACTCCTTATGAAATAGAGTTGGAATTTATTAAAAATGAGAGAAAGAGCTGGGCATGGTGGTGCATGCCTTTAATCCCAGCACTTGGGAGGCAGAGGCAGGGCACTCTCTGTAAAATGGAGGCCAGCCTGGTCTACATAGGGAGTTCCAGGCCAGCTGGGGCTACAGAGAAACCCTGTCTCAAAAAGGCCAAAGGGGTAGAGAAAGAATGAGCCCTATCCCTGAGCATTGGTGTGGGCTTCTCAGAGAGTCACGATTGTTTTCATGGCAGAGGCAGAGGCTGTTTTGGTTGTTCTCAAGTTACATTCAAAGGGTTGTTCAGAAAGGCGAATTTCCTCTTTCTTTTTCTTTTTGCTAAATGAGATTATACAATGGGTCCATATTTACCTTGGATGGAATTGGAATGTATAAATTTGCACAAAGGGGTTTTCTAGAAAGTCATAGATTTATAGCTGGGAAAGGAGAAAGGCCTTAAGCAAATGTTAATTAAGTTGGACTTCTTGATTCTCGTCTGGTGAGAGGTTTCAACCAGACCCCAGGGTGAGGGGCTCCTTTCCCTTCCCATGTCTCCATAATCGTCCCTGTCTTTCTATCCTGCCTCAGTTAGGACTTAAGAATTTTAATGATAATAATAAATATACATATATATAATTAGATGCATGTGCATATAATATATAAAAGAAATTTTCATATAGTTACCGAAGTCTTATTATAAAGGAAACTATGTTATTAGCCCTCTCCCCCCAAGTTCATACTGATTCTACTGATTGCAAACTTAGTGCTATGATTATATAATATAAAAAAACAGAAGAAACAATTTGTACAGATGTTGACGATACGTCAGCCTTAAGTGTGGCAAGTCAGTTCTGCTATTTCAATGGCTGTAACCTGAACATGTTTGAAAACACTGCAGGAATTGCTTAGGATAAAAAAATGTCTTTCTGTCTTTTTTAGAGTTTACATGGTATAGAAGATATGGCCATGGAGGTAAGTTTTAAATAGCCTTTTCCATTTAATGACATTTTATCTCTGCCTTAAGCTATGATCTCTCTAAATGTGAAGGCAAATGATTATTTTGTAAATATTTAATTTTGTAAATACTTAAATATTTTGTAAGATTTTTTTTCTGAGATCATTAGACCTCTTGCTTGATTGCTGAAGGAAATAAATCACAAAAAATGGTTTGGTGCAGATGAAAAGTATTCAGTGTAGTCTCTTTTTTTCTGACATGCTTTGTAACAACACAATGCTGTGAAATTTGAAGCAACATTTTAATTGTTGAAAGTGCTTAACTTTTTTTCAAAAAACTAAAGTAAGTGAATTTGGAACCTTATGATTCAGTGCAACTGGAAGCCTACATATGCAAAATTTATTGTTTGAAATACATTGAATATATTGAACAACACTACTGCTTCAGAGTCTCCTTTGAGCACTGAGCAGTTGTGAAGTAGAAGCAACGTAAGGAGACCAGCCTGGATTTGCATCTCCAGCTGGAACACACTAGCGAAGCTTCCGTCTTTGCATAAATCAGTCAACTTCCAGGAGCTTCAGTTTTCAATGTGTAAAAATAGCAGAGTCATTTAGTGCAAAGCTCTCACAAAGAATACAGTGGCAGCTGCTGGCCTGTGGCTGACGTGTGTGCTCGGTGATCACAGCAAGATACCTCCATTGTATTTATCTGTATTTACATCTTTGTATTTATTGTACACTGCGTATGGCACAGGGACTGCTGAGCAATCAGTGTGCAGCTCCTGATGAGAAGAAGCATTCCAGGCTGAAGGAGAAGAACTTCCAAGTGTGGGTTAATGAGCAGGAAATTCTTAGCCTAATTTGATCAGAGCCCCTTTCTCCCACCCTGGGAGCTGGGATGTACTACGTGTGGGCTTTATAAAGATCAGTGACATTTTCACATAAACTTCTAATACCTTACCCTAAGTAGGAAATATTACGAGTCAACATTTTCTTTAAGAATTTTTCTTTCCTTAAAAAAATTCTAACAAAAAGTATATTTTAAAGGCATAATTTGAAGATTTAAAATATGTTTAAAGATTGAAGTCCTAAATCAGAACCTTGAAATAGTTTAGCTGTCAGAAATGATATAAATGCTGAATGGAAAAGGTGACAGAAATTCAGAGTTTAAAAAATCCATACTTTTTCTATTGATTATAAAGTTCTTTATCCTGGTGTTGGAGAGATGGCTCAGCAGTTAATAGTACTGGCTGCTCTTGCAGAGGACCCACATGGCAGCTAACAACCATCCATAACTCCAGGTCAGGGGACCCAACGCCCTCTTGTGGCCTCAGTGGGCTTGCAGAACACAGGAGCACTTAGATCCTTGGAGGCAGAGCACTCACACCTCTGGAAGGTAGAGAGAAACCCAAGGTGTCACAGGGCCCTGGGCCATTTGAACTTGCAGTCCTTGTCTCTGGGGCTGCCAATATCCCTACAAGCTCCCTTTCTTGCAGCTGCTCGACTCCAGTGTCTGCCTCCAGCTGCCCACCATCTATCCCTGTGGCTCTTTACATAACCTTCCTCTGGGCTGCCTGTCCCAGGGTCCAAGTTTCCTCCTTCTGTAAGGATGTCACTAAAGTTCAATTCAGACCTTTCTCATTTCAGCTTGATTACCTTTGCAAAGACCCTATTTTCTTTTCTTTTTTTTTTTTTTTCATTGCGGCTTTAACATATTCAGTAACACATTCCAGAGCAAGTATACATCTCTTTCAAAGGTGGCTGTAGATTTTAAGGTTCATAGTTGAATTAATATAGTCATACAATATTGAATGATCATATTCTGTATGGCCCTAGCTGGTTCCTAGGTGCCAGGATTAGGCAAATGCCGTCACACTCAGTGGATTTTTGGTGCAATCATTTGTTGGTGTATGTGTATGTGTGCCTGCACTTGGGGGTCAGTGGATACTTTACCAGAGTTAGCTCTCTACTTCCATCATATAGATCCTGGGGATGAACTCAATATCTCAAGATCATTAGGATTTGTGTTGAGTGACTTTGCCTGCTGAAACATCAGATTAACTTTTTTTGTATTTTTTAAAAAATTTTTAATAACTACATAATTAGAAGAAGCATTTCATTACATAAAGCTTTAACATAATCAATAAGACACTCCAGAGCAAGAGTACATCTCTTTCACAAGTGGGTGCAAGTTTCTAGGTTCACAGTTGAATTAATACAGTTATACAAATATTAAATTCAGTAGGATTTGGATATTGGATATACCTGGGGTTTGGACATGGGTATGTTTTTCCGTGCATGCGGAGGTGAGATGGAGGCAATTCAACTCTGGCATAGTCCTAAGTAAAATGTATTGTGTACCTCTGAGAAATCTTTTTGTGAAATACCCACATGTTCCCAAGCTCATTTGGCACCAAGCTGGTAGTCACAAAGGACCCCATATCACCAGAAAGTTGTTAAACATGTTTTTATACCTAAAAAATCTCATCCACGTTAAATTTAAATTCACGACTCACCTCAGGCAGAGCACCGGCTGCGCCGCACTCCTGCTGAGCTGCCCGAGCACCGTCTACTCTTCCATTTGTCATATCTGGGCACTCTCATCTCACACCTCTGAAACTACCTATTCGTTCTTACTGTGAACTACTGAATTTGGTTCTTTTTGTACAGGGAGATTAGACATTACAAGACGTGAATTTCGCAGGCTCACTGTAACTCTGGCTCCTGGGCTCTGCCGGGCTGCCTGCCATTTGTAGGTCTCACCCTACCAGCCCTGTCCTTGTGCAGTAGACCTGTCCCTTCTGATCATTTAACCCGTCATTACAAATGTCCCTCTCTCCCCATTATCAGCTTCTCCCTCTAGTTGGGCCATTATTATCAACATACTTACATTCTGTATTTTCTCTCATGAAAAAAATAACCCTGCAGGCGGGGCATGGTGACGCACACCTTTAATCCCAGCGCTCGGGAGGCAGAGGCAGGCGGATCTCAGTGAGTTTAAGGCCAGCCTGGTCTACAAAGCGAGTTCCAGGCCAGCTGAGGCTACGAGAGATCCTGTCTCAAAACAAACAAACAAACAAACAAAAACAAACAAAACCCCCCCCAAAACCTGTCAATTTCAAACTCTATAAATGGCCCATTTGTCACTTCTCCCCAGCAGTCTAAGGACAATAACAAAACCCTCACCTATGCCAGTCCTTTGCAATTCCTTGACTTAAGTTCTCCTTTGAATACAGCAGGCTTTTACACCAGTGGTCAACAAAAACTGCCTTTCTTTGCTACCCCTGATGTACAGGTGGTTGATCTAGTGGTCCACTAGTGAGCTTCATGCAGTGCACGGCTCAGCCATCACATGCAGACACAGTGTCCTAGAGCAAAAGACGGCATTTTTCTTCCTATAGAAATAAGGAACTCTTTCTGAGACTCCTTTGAAAAAATGTCCAGAGTTGGTGACAGCCTAGCCCATCCTTGGCAGGGAGAGTTAGGTATTAGTGCTGACCAACATTTCTTTCTAGTCATGGGAGGGAAGAATTGACCCTTGGGCAAATCTGAGCTGTGTCACATAGTGGAATGGGAGAACAGGCCTTGGTTCTCCAACAGCTATCTGCCAGCAATGACCGTTTCGTTACTTTGTGGGATGAAATAAGGATTAAAAAATCCTACAGGAACAAGTTCTATCCAATGTATCATCCTACATATTTCAAATTGAAAAATACTATTTTATATCAATCCTAATAGCCTGACTCATTTTTCAAATAAAAAATATGTAATAGGGACTGGAGAGATGGCTCATCAATTAAGAGCACTGGCTATTCTTCCAGAGGACCCAGGTTCGATTCCCAGGACTCACATGGCAGCTAACAACCACCTACAGGGGATCCAATGCCCTCTTCTGGGTAGTCATGTGCAGATGCACTTATACACATGCATGCAAAACACTCATGTACATAAAATAAAAATAATTAAATAAAAATTTAAAAGGTATATGCATTAACAAGTGTGAACACTTTAAATTAGAAAAGTTGAGCATATTAAAAGATCACAAAATTATACAAAGCAATTCTAGTTTTCCTGACTGACATCTTAAAATTCCTCCCTTTGTATTGTTTATATTTTATGAATCAATGTCCTAAAATAACTATAATTCAGTTGCAGAGAACTGACCTGTAATATTGATACATGTAGTTACTAATTTAACCGCTTGTGAAGAAATACTTCTTTCAATGCTTTTTCACATGTCTGCACTTCCTTCATACTAGAAGCAAGTAAAAACCAAGCTACAGCTATTTTAGCATCAACTTTCACCTAAGTTAACTCATAAGTGATGATAAATATCTTTTTAATTTCTTTAATTCAGTGAGGAAAACTATAAAAGGACAAAATAAGACATCAGTGTAGCATTTATAAAAATTATAACTTGAGGGGGCTGGAGAGATGGCTCAGCATTTAAGAGCACTTGCAGATTCAGTTTCCAGCACTGACACATGGTGGCTAACAACCCTCTGTAACTCCAGTTCCAGGGAATCCGACATCCTCTTCTGACCTCCATGGGCATTGCCACCACGAGTTCACTTACATACATGCAGGCAATACGCCAATTCATACGAAATAAAAATAATCAATAAAATATTTTTAAAAGAATTAGAATATGAAATGTAATTTACATGTGCGTGTTTAGAATTATGCTGTGCCTCTAGAACACCAAGAGGTAATGTTGAAAATGGATCTTCATCGCTAGGCTGGAGAGACTGTAATTAGAGAAGTCCCCTGTCTTTATAGAACCTACACTCAAATTTCTTGAGTATTTTTTCACTTAGACTCACATTGGTCACTGGGCATTGCTTTTGGTATGTGTCCCTATCTGTAAATATGAGTGACATTTGCAGCCTTAATTGGCTTATCTTTTCAATTTTGTGATGTGAACACTTATATAGCCTTATTGATGAAACAAATTTGATTTGGCCCTTGAAGCAGGACCCCAGCTGGAGCAGGCTAGAGACTGGGTTGTAGTCTACATA